TCTTTGGCTCCAAAACCTAATCTTACACATGGAAAGTATGCGCGATCCTCCCGCTTAGGCTTACGAAAGTCCTTGGCCACGTGTCTTGTTGCTGCAATTATACCACTTGACCACTCGTCTTGAAATAGTTTCTATCTGACCCATTCGTTCTTGTGTGGGGATGCACAATTCCCCCTGACTGAAGGCCCGTAGCAAGACAGCGTTAGAAAAAAAATGCTACTGTATTGTCGTATTGCCCATATCGTTTAACATTTCGTCTATGGCCTTCCTCATGAACATTGTGTGTTTTTTGCGTTTGACCTTGTTGCTTATTTAGTTATTCAGTTCTGTCAGCCAAACGTTAACCGTTCAACTCCATGCTTGATCACTTTTTTAATCAATGGGAACGAGCGAAAATCATTAAGATCGCCAAATAAGCCTATAAGCCTGCTGCCGACGCTCTTTTAAAGTCCTTAAACGACATCTTCGAAGTCAATATTTGGAATTCGACGAGGTCGCGCGCCTAGTCCCGTAACATCAGTTTGGCTTTAGGAAGTTTCACGGCTGCCCCAAGCAGGTCCACCAGGTAGTGCCGAGGCATTTGAATATAAAGAATACTGCTTTGGCGTGTTTATTGACGCAAAAACTACGTTTCACAAGGAAGTTTTGTCTACAAAATAAAACCCTACTCCCTGCGCCATATATCAGCATCCTGAGTTCATATCTGGCAACATAGCCGTCAAAGAACAAGCCTCGAGTTTCAGTCATCAAATCAGGTGTATCACAGTTTGTCGATGCCGTCATTAATATCCGCCAGTGACTGGAGTTGGTTGGGCCGCGTGATATAGTAAACTGTGCCAACGTGCTGAGCGTATGTCGTATAAGGTAATCTTCGGCAGAATGTTATTGTAAGAGTAGCGCCTCAGTTTCCAATCGACTCTGAAGATTAATTTTTTAAAAAATGTTTATTGCATTGAATCAAAAATAGAATATATTTTTATTATAACACAGTTGACTTAGGTAATTTTTCGCTAAGCCTTTTAGGCTCATCAGACTTTATCGTGGACAAACGTGCAGCAAGGTCTCTTGCTACCCGGTTGCACCGTATTTCCAAGTTGGCGCCACCACGACGTTGTAAACTGCCTGTTTGTAGCGAAGTGACAATGCGCTGTTTAGGTTTAGTAGCCAATTGGACTTGGCCATCTTAAGACGGCACTGCTTGAGAAGGCCGTCGATGTGTGCTCGAAAGGTAAGCCTCTTATCCAATATATTTCCCAGATACTTGGCGTTAATGCCAGGATGAAGGGGGCTGCCAATTATCTACACTGCTGGAGGCTTGCTACGCCTCAGTGTGTAGTTAACCGCCTGGCACTTTGAGGCAAACAAGTGGATGTATTCCTGGGCCCTGCCAGTGGGGTCGTACTCACAGTGGGCGGAGAAAAATATTGCCACGTCATCGGAAAATGTTGCCTTCAAGTGTATGTCATCTGGTGTGGGGATGTCTGCCTTGTACAAATTTTAGAGAAAAAGCCCCATTACGCTGCCATGAGGGACACACAAGCCTTCATATTGCGAACAGGGGAGATAGCTGTCATGACTTTGACTGCGAACTTTCGCTCCATTAGACACGGGCGCAGAAGTAGGAAGAAGAGGGCGGGAAGACATCTTGATTTTTTGGAGCAACCCATCAATCCAGACTCGGTCGAAGGCCTGGCTAACGTCTACAATGACTCCATAGCAATGTTATTTGTCGTTGTAAGCCTTAAGAATATGGAGATTACTCTGTGAAATTGGTGATCGGGAAGAATGGCCCTTTGATAGCGTAGCAAGTCAGGCGACAATCAGTCTTTCCCAGACGTTCGACAAGGAGGGCGGGAGACTGATCGGCCAATATTACTCAGGATCATAGTCCGGCTTGTCCGACTTATGGATCGTATAGATCCTCGCTAACTTCCACTGGGCAGAAAAGTGTAGCGTTCTTAATATGCGATTGAAGATCAACGTATGGCAGACCTTCAAAGTATTGGGGCATATTCTATCATGGTCCGGTTCTTTAGCCCTAGGCAGGCCTTTAACGACGTTGATCAACTCCTCCACGCGGAGCGTGTGTCGGTCGTGATTAGATTCGGTCTCTCGTGCAAAGGCCAACGCGAAAGGAAGATCATTCGGTCTTGATGAAAACGACACAACGACTTTTTAGTTCCCGAAATAAATACATGTAGAACGTCTTTAATATAACGTCCATAATATATATATATATATATATATATATATATATATAGTGTGACAGATATGGTGATGTCGTAAGTCATGTTTGTGGAGCGTCAATTCTTCTTGTTTAATAAACCATTTGGGGTGCTTGTCCTTTGAAGTATGTGAAAGTGTGCCAAATAACGCTAGTACCATGTCCGCTGATCCCTTAATATTTTCTCTTATTACACTTAAAGCTTGATAATTTTTTGAACTACCTGCGTATTTTTTTGGCGCTTTTCTCCATGATTAAACATAGTCTAAAGTTTTACTGCACGAATCCGTTATTCGAGTTTTCGCGTCTTTATAAGTTTCTTCTTCTGGAGCTCCGACACTGGAACCATGGAAAATTATAGGATATTAATGAGCCGGCACGTACATGATCTTAATACTCTCCTATAAACTCTTTATGTTGCTGCCGTCGTTACCGCCTTATTTTCCAAAATTCAAAGTACTGTATCTTTGGAGTCTTATTCTTACATGATTTCTTATAAAGGAAGCTATAAAATGTGATGAAGTGTGCCTCGTAAAAGGCGTTGAATATCGGCCGGTAGCAACACGCTAATTATGCGTGCTTGGTTAGTGAGCCGTTCTCTTCTTTGGTGTTAACTTATATATATGCATTCAGATGTTTAATTGCAAGCTTCGTAAACTACTAAATACTTACCCAAATCATAATACAGCTTCCATTAATGTATCTTAATTTCTTTGCAAATTTGTAGCCTATTAAATAAAAGATTTAAGTCTATTGTATAATATTCCCAGTCAAGCAAAGACTAAAAATCAATTTGTTTCCAAACAATTTCTTCAACGAACATCAAGGGTTTAATAGAAACTATTATTGGTGCTCTAGTTGGGACTACCTTATTAGGTACCTTACCTTATTCACTGATCCTCGCACCGAGCTGCTGTCACAAGGAGGCAATCAAAATGGAAAGTTATTGTATACCCTACGAGAGTCTTCATTTCCAATTTTGTGTCTTCAACATTTATAGGCAGCGAGACTTTCCCAAAACTCAGAATTTCGATATTGATATGCGACTTCATTGGAAATTGGGATAGTCGACGATAATGCATAACAAACTCGTACTGCACGTCCAAGAACTAATTAGTCACTAACTCTTATGGTATCCGGGATCCACACTTTTAGATGAAACGACAGATGGACGTCCCAACAGACAAAGAGTTCTAGTACAGCTGTAGTCGCGAACTCCCGACTAGAGGATACCCTGAATCGCCTTCTACCAACACCAAATGTAGTTCGCGCTACGAGTTTGTTTGCCTTAGAAGTAATAAAAATAAATAACAAAAAAAAAATTATAAAAAAATTTTCCCTCAGTAGCACTCGAATTCATAACAGACCACAATACCGCCATTGCCGCCGCCTCCTCTCAACAGCCATATTAAATTGACTCTTAATGAAATTTGAATAGCAACACATTTAAAAATCACAAAATGCAATACAATCGCAATTGCTGTTGATAGAATTCAATAAATACGCGCGTGAATGTGTGTGTGTACATGTATACAGAAATCCTTGGAATTTGCGCTAGCTGCCCTAATCACGTGGGCAGCCAAAACACATTTGCTTTTATAACTTCTGTGTTTCTTAACCGATCTTGTTCTTATTTTACCATAATATATTTGTGTATTCTCAAAACAACGATTATATTCAAATCGTGGCTTTAATTGGTGGAGAATACAAATTGGTGTTTTTACTTGATTTATAGTTATGTATACTATTCTGAAGGCTGCATATCAAGTTTGGTTACCCTAGCTTTTATAACTTACGAGATTTGTTCAAAACCAGGACTTTGATTTTTATCGATTATTTAAAAACGGAGCAAGTTTTCGATTAACGAAAACAAATTTGACTGCGCAAGCACTTTGAGCAGCTATGCTCCAAATTTCAAGTCTTGCGCGTTCTTAAATACGGACTATGGGTTAGAAGATGCTTCCTTCTGCCTGTAACATTCATTCGCACAAATACATTATGCGCACTTTTCCAATTTTGTAATCGATCTGTTTTTGATGCCTAGCGAAACTTTTAGCTTGGGTTAAATATATATATACAATAAAGTCGATAATAGTACACCGCGTAATTAGTAAAGTATACATCTTAATACAATTTATTCTTTTCCACAAATGTTTTGGCTAAAAAAATTGTAAAATCTTATGTAGATTAAAAGGTTTGATGTTCGATGATTGTTCTATTATTTACAAAATAATGATAATAAGATTTACAATATGTTAAGAAACTCCTTTAAAAATTTTCGTTTTTCTTGTGTGAGAGCTTTGAAATACTTAAGTTACACACAAATTTGATTACAACAATGTTGAGTTTACCTATTTTCGCTTTCCCTGCGGATTCAAAGTTTGTCAAAAATATCAAAAAATAAAAGTGGATGTAGTAAATTATTGTAATTAATTCGATATTAGCTATATTTTTATGCTAAAATGTTTATAAAGTGGTTTGCTATAAAGTCTACTCAGAACTCAGAACTTTAAAATGGAAAAAAAGATGAAAAAAGTTTTCCTTGGATGAGAATCATACATATATGAAACTCATTCTTTATTTTATCTTGACTTTCAAAATATATTTAGGTCACACACCAAATTTAATTGATTTTAAATAATAATTAATTTTAAAATGAATCTGCAGGTAGAGCCTAGGTTCATCCTGCGGTATTCCGATTTTCAGCATTAAGAAACACAAACTTTTATGAGCGTCACTTAGTTTTACCAAACGACAAGAATCTAAACGTTATAAGTGCAAGGACTCGTCATAATTTCGGTTTATTTATAATAGGTAAGTGATTGTGATTAATTGGAAAGGAATATATCTATACATTAACCAACGTACGCGAATGGGGGAAATGGAGGTGAATAATAATTTTGAAATGATCCTGAGTTTTGATTTGGGAGAGTAGCTGTTACTAATTTCGAGACTGCAGTTGGAACAATTGAAGTTGAAAACAATGTTGTATAGGCCGTCCTTGCACCGAATGTTAACTTTAGGACTTTACTACTTGTTGCTGTAATCAATGTTTCATAAATTGAAGTAGATGTAATTAAATGCTGCTGGGGTATGGCTAACAAGGGATTATAAAATGGATTAATTGAATATGGATATTGTGACATTGGTAATAAAATTGTAGAAACATCAGTAACATATTCAGTTTTTTCAACTACACCAACTGACTTCGATAAAGTTCTCAAAATGCTTTCGGTCCCCCTAATAAGAGGTACCACGTATGATTCCCAAACCGTATCAACCTTAATTATCGGACGTGTGGTAGTTATTATGCTGTTAAATGGACTTGCTATTGCAGGTATTTCGGATTTGATAAAATGTTCTGAGTCCTTTAACTGAAAAGGGCTTATTGGGCTTGTAGAATTTATGCCTTTTAGTTCGATCATTTTATTAGAATTCGATTTAACTTCAAATTGTCCAGAATTGCTTTCATCGCCAAATTCAAGATCCAGGTTTATTTCAGAACCAGCCTCATCCAAAATGCCTTCAAAATCCTTAAAATTTTTAGATGGTATAAAATTGTCTCTAAAAGGCGAGACTGTCTGAGTAACAGTTACAAAGCTTGTATAATCATATGTTTGTATTAAAGTTATTTGTGTAGTTTCATTTTGTTTATCAAAAACTATTGGTAAGATCTCTGTTTTAAGTTTGGTTTGCGTAAATGAAAATGATTCCGTAATTATTTCAAGTTCTGGAGTCTCAACGCTATCTGTGTAATGAATGGGTTTCAAAGTAGTTAAAATTCCATTGAACGATGGCTTAATCATCTGCGTAGTAGATTCCAAAATGTTTTCAGTTAAAGGTCCATCATTTTCCGAATATTCATCAATTCTATCATTTTTAATTGATTTTTCCACAGTTGAAGTAACTGTTAAAAAACGCGTTTTTTTTACAAGTCCCGCCTACAAAAAAAGAAGGAAAATATGTTATCAAAAATTAGTTAACAATTTTTTTTGGTAAAACGTTCAAAAACATGTAAAAGTGCTTAGGGCGTGCGCGAATAGAGGATACCCAAGGACGAGCCGACGTTAGAAATAACCTTTTCTATCAAAAACACAAGCACGAACGCCAGCAAGCTATCGATGATCTGAGAGCAGCCCGTTTCTATTATGTATAACTAAGAACACCGATCGCATCAACAAAGATTTAATATAAATACTCGTTTTTTTAATTAAATTTGAAAATGCATGCATTAACCAATACATACATACTTAGACAAACATACGTATTTATATGTTTACATATTGCAACATTTGCAACTTAATTTAATTTTAATAGGAATATTATGGTAATAAAATGTAGAGATAAGAGATTTTCTATGTGGCTAAAGTGAGTTTTCGACATTAGCCGTCTACTACGCACTCACCAGACTTCAGTCCCATATTCCAGTATGTTGGTCTGGACTTGGCAAGGTACTTCTGGACATTGTCAGTGTCTTTAACACCGTTGTCGCGATCAGGATCGTTGAGTCACACACACGTCGCGATCCAGGATCGTTGTGTCATTCGCAAATTTAGTAATGAAAACGATTTTCGAATTTACATTGAGGAGGTTTTAGGGACCAAGCACACTCTTGGGTACTCCGGTTGTTGTTCCGCTTATCGCTGAGCCGGTAGGATCGGGCGTCCAGAAAACTCCTGACGACTCTAAAGAGCAACAGGGGAAGAAGGGACTTGCGGTCCAGGGAAGGTGCGAAGCCAAAATGGTACTTGGGGATCGCTTCGTAGTCTGCCCTTACTTCAAAGATTCTCTTAAGTAGGGGTCGCTCGAAAATCTTGGATAGCAAGCTTAAAAGCCTATAGAAATTCATGTTATGGAGGTTTTTTCCTTTTTTTGGGGACCATACAAAATTCGGTTCATGTCTTTTTCCGCTGTGAATAGCCGACGACACTTTGTTGCGAATAAGTACAGGGGTGCCTTGAGTATCCAAAAACTCATCCTCGAGGTTGAGAGCAAAAGCGGGGTACCTTCCTGAGAAGGAGGCGTCGATAGGCCCTCCCATCTCCTGACTGAGTACTTGATAGTCGCCTAGCGTTTGAATGGCCGGTAATTCCTTATAGTAGAGATGCCATCGAAAATTTATCCATTCAAAAGGGTAAGCAAAAGTAAAGATACAGAGACTAGAATATTACTGCTAGTACATAAACAAATTTTAAATTCTACATCAGAAGAACGTGAGTTGTCTCTACCTTCGGCGGGCCACGGCACAAACGTATTTATTTAGTGTGTGTTTTGGCAAGTTAGTATGCATCAAAGTTGTTCGAGTACGAGCTTACCGATTCCGCACGCAATATCAAGATTTGTGGTCCTTGTAACGAGAATGCAGCTGTAATGCGACTGGTTCGTTGCTGTGGAGCAAGAAAATGCGTGCTTCGAAGGCGAAAGAAGAGTGGCCACTAAAGTTGTGCACGGAATCAGAAAACGGTGACAGTTAAATGAACGAATGAAGCTGTGGTCAATAACTGGCAGCGCAAGATGAGAAGAAGGATTTGGATTTTGTATTGGTGTTTTTGAGTAGAACAATTACCAAAGTCAAAACGAAAACTATTCGTCAGTTTAACAATTCTTGCGAGACGAACTTAAGTAGACTTACGTTTAATGATGCAGAAAATAATGTGATAAAATTCTCTGGGTCGAACATCACAGACATAAATGAGTGGATTTAAGAACTTTATTAAGTTGTAATTGCGTATTTACGCATTGCAATTACTCATTAATACGGCCAATTATATACACGCAGCCAACGAAATATTCGCGATCTGTGTATACTTAAAGTTGCATTGTGCGATGAGTTTGCTGTTAAGTTATCATCGGTCAAGATACATCGTGGGCTTAGCAGGCGTCAGTAGAAAAAGAGCGAAACATGCAAGTCGATGGAGGCAGCGAAGCCGATTAATTTAGAAGAGAAAAGCTTATATACCTGATACCAGTTGAAGATGCAGATAAAAGGGTACCAAAAGATGCGAGGGCCGTTAAAGCAGTTGGACAAATCTAGCTTGCATCTCGGCAAAAAGGAGAATGTGTCAGGAAAAATTTTGGAAATAGTAAGAAGTTTTAAGTGTAGGGACGTGTCACATTCACAAAAATACGGTCTGCATTCAAGTGTTTGCGTTGCCATCAAGCAAGCCAGAGGGCAGTTTATAGTTAAGTTAACGGGCATATAAAGCAAGAAAAGAGAACAAATCTTATTCAGGATGAGGGGAAAACAAAGCTAGCAGCGTGCTTGCACCTCTGGGCTATTCTTAAAGCCTGTTGTTCACTTAAAAGTAATTTTAAGGAGCTTGGGGATACGGGAGCCGATGGCATTTGACGGCTTTTTAGGCAGAATGACTCTTGGAACTATCGATATGAAAGTGACTGAAAATTAAACAGAGTTTGTAAGCTAGGGCGAGCATAAAGCCTACCGGAAATTCGATAATCACTGGTACAGCGTCTTTGAGAAGCTGCAGGGAGCACTAATTTGTCATCACCACTATAGATGTCGAGGAAGGCTTGCAAGGGTTGCGAGATTATTTGATAACATGTCAGATTTTGCAGAAAATAAATTTCATAGAGTACATTTTGAAAGGCGATACTTTTAAGCCGAGTGAGGAGAAAACGCGAGTTGTACCAAATTTCCGAAAACCCTTCTAACAGGCTCGCTAGTACTCTTCAGCAGATTAAGGAGAAGAACTCTTGCCCAGATTCTCCCCCCCAAACTCCGCCGATCGAAAACTAGTTTTTCCTAACAAAAAACTGGCAAATGTAACTAATGACAAACAAATGGTGCATAAGGGAATAAGCGACTTTAAAATGCATTTATCAAATATCTAAATTCTTAAAAAAAAGGTGTACAACAATTTTTTGGTTTTTTTTTTTAAGTTAGGAAATTTGTCGAGGGATACGCGGTAATTGCTAAGCCGTCATCAAACATGCTAAGAAATTATTCTAAGTTCAAATGTAACGAGTTGCATCAGCTCGCATTCAAATAGTAGAAAATGGTGTAAACAAGTAACCCAGTCCAACTGTTGTTCAATCCATAATTGGCTAGAGCGATTCATATAAATGCATTTAATTTTGGATTTCGGGCTGTATTATTGTAGAGAAACTCAGAAGATCACTTTTTGAATTGTTCTACATGAGTAGTAAGGCAAAGTCTAGTGGGGAGAAGTACCACACATTTTTGCTCGAACGGCTTGCTGTCAAAAAAGCTTAGCCGATTAAGCCGATTATAATGCGTTCGCCAAGACAATGAAAAAAAAGAGGTGCCGTTCAGAGTAGCGCAATGGGTGATTTTTCAACAAGCGATTTTCTACTCGAGCACTGCTCAGGTACGAAAGTGAGTTGTGTGGAAAGTAAAATTCTGTGAGCAATCAATTCTTAAATCTTAATAATGTCTAAGCAACTCTAGGGTAAGTTTGAATCGAGATTCGAGTTGCTTGGCAAAATTGCTGTTTATATTGCACGCAAATCTCTTGCTAGCGTATCGCTAAATAAATTTAATTTCTTCACTCCTAATGAAATAGCATAATTAAAGATTTCTTTTTCATATGACTCGTCCTCAATCTTTTATGATTCTTAATTTCGGGATCCTTAAATGATATATTACGAGTTGAAGCACAAAACGTGAAACCATTCTTTCCCTGTCACCCTTCCCACCCCTTTGATAGAAGGTACTATTGTTACTGCCCCAAAAATCTAGCTCCATTTTCTGCCCTAGTTTTTATTCCTTATCAGAATGTCAGAGCCATCATTTCTAAGCTTCAAAATCGTTTTATGGCCAGCACTTCCTTGAATTCGGATATATTGGGAAACATTGTTTAATTCAACCAAATCTAATTTTGAAGTTTTTTCGAACAATGTGATTGTGCATAGAAATGATCGTCCGACTTGAGGTGATTAATTATCGTTAAAGCCACTTTCTACGCGACTAGAACCTCTCACTTGTTTCATATTTAAAAGGTTGGACCCAACGAGTAATGCTGAGGCTGACCACCTCAAAACACCTTTACTCTTTACTCTTTTTATAAAAAATCTCCCCTCAATTATATCACACGTCCTTGTAATATGAAGGTAGACGATGTTAAGCTTATTCTTTAATACACTAAGCCCCTACGTAACTCTCTCCTACAAGATGATTTGAACCAAAGACAATATAAACACTAAGATGAGTAACGCCATACAACAAAATGCTACTATGCAGCTTGATTTTTTGAAAATTGAGAACGAAAACGAAATCTGTAGCATTGCGCTCTCACAGCCGAGAGAACGAAAAAGCTAAAAATCGAATTTGCTCTCAGCTTCGGCTCTATGAGGGCCTTGCAAGCAATGTTTGTTTGTATTCGTGTGAATATACATACATAACAGCATATTTGAATGTGTTTTTATCCACTGCTCTGGCAAAGTCTCTGGCTGGCAAAGAAACAATTTTCTTAATTTTTTAGCGCAGATCACGACGTACTCAAAATTTCTGTTGTTTATATGAATGCATTTTGTGTACTGAGGTTGGCTCCATACAAAAAAATTTGTATTTTTAAGTCGATGCAAATATTTATGTAATTTTTCATATTTGACCTTCGGGTCGACTTGAAATGTAATTGTATTTTTTAGCACTCTATTATTTCTTAATTGGAGAATAAAAATAATATTAATTTAATTGAAAGAAATTATGTAAATATTTGCATCGACTTAGAAATACATATTTTCTGCGGAGCCAACCTCAGTACACAAAATGCATTCATATATCAACATAAATTTGGGAGAGGTCATGATCTGCGCTAGAAAACTAACAAAATTAATTTCTTGCCAGCTAAAGCCAGAGCAGTGTATAAGAACACATACATACATACTTTAAAGTTCTTATGCATGAATAATTCACGCATACAACGAAAGGTGGACGCACGCTATTGGCTGAGACAAGAACTTTTTTCGAGCATACACTGTTCAAAAAGAAAAGTGAAATCAATCTATGTGTGCTATTTTTTTAACATAGTTATTGCGCAAGAAGCGCCTTGTGTAAAAATTAGTTCTTAAATTTTCCTGTAAAATTAATCGTTAATATCTAGGGTAATATATAATTTAAACAAATCATGAATTTTATCGATAAAGCTCAAGCACTTTGCGTCGATCGTAAGTTCTAAACTTTTTCGCTCAATGTACTTCGAAAACGAAGCGACGCAAAGCAGCATCGACCAGCTTTCCTGAAGGCAGGCTGGCGACTAACTTCGTAGCTCGTGTCAGCATCAGCAAGCCGCGACTTCGGCATTCGTCTGGTCTTTGGAGAACGAACAACCAGTCGGCAGGCATGCCGTACAAAGCCTCAAAGGCTAGATGAAAGGCCAGGCTAGAAATTTTGCGTCGCATTCAAATGTATGGACGTTACTCATCTTAGCGTTTATATTGTCTTTGTTTGAACGCTATACAACTTTGGTGTTTGGCCACACAATTGCATTTAAATTGTTCAAAGTGTATGTTTATGACCTTCAATTGTACTAGACCAAAAATCAGTCAAAAAATCGTAATCCTATCCCCTCCTACTCCGGCAGGCTTCTTTTTCTTTATCTTCCGTCGTTAACTAATCGTTAGACAATTCGCGGCGTTGTCTTCCTACATAAGTTGATTGTGGATATTGCCCCTTATGCCTTCCCAAGTGCAAGCAGATTATGCTACGCACAATTTTTTGTGCAGTGAAAAAATTGAAACAGCTTGTATCACGTTACCTCCGCTGAAGTTTCTTCTCCCCTAATAAAAACGTTGCTTTCAGGATACTTTCACTGGCCATTACCAGTTGTAAGTAGAGGCTGACAGGCTATAAATTTCTCGCATCGGGTCGGTGATTGCCCATCACTATCTCTTTATCTTAACACTCTATATGTCTAGCATAATTTTCCTTACATTTTTAATAACTTCTTTCTTTCTTTTTATTCTTATTTATAGTTCAGTCATTTAAAATTATTTTTAATTTTTAATTAAGAACATTATTTCCTCTACTTACAGCTTAGCTGTAGTTACTAAGAATCACTGATAAAATTAGCTGTGAAAAGGGACATATCTGGCCGGAAATTGTGGATTCTAATTAGGCTCTTGGCATTTAATTTTCATAATTTGATATATTAATTTATATGTCAAACTAAAATTATATAGTTGCAAAACTAATAATTTTCAAAGTTTAAGTGGCTTTTGAATAAATTCTAATCATTTATTAGTTTTCGGGTAATCGATAATGCGAGAAATTATCGAGAAATGATCAAATATTCAGGCTGTATGTGAATACAGATAAAATACCAGATTTCAAAAAAACAAATCCAAAAAAGTTGTTATAGGAACAGACATTCCAACATTTCATTTTGTTACCAATGTTATGGGCATTCATTTTATTCTTGATAGAAAATATCTAGTAGTTTTCCAATAGCAGAAGTATTGCATTTTGGAATTTGCTTACTTTTTCCGTAGTGAGTGAATTTTTTGTCAATCTATCAGTGTTTGAATAACAGAATATTGCACGGGTAAGGGAAATAATGAAAATTTCTTGGTGGAGGCTTCACTGCTAATACAAGTGCTTAGGAAAGGGGAAAAGAGATGAAGAGAATACTGTAAAATTGCCCTAGAGCTTTCTCATTGTGGATCTTTTTTAGAGTAGGTTGATGCCAAAGGTGTTGGTATGCCCTTTAAACCGATCCTAACAGGAATTGCTTAGTCGCACATTATTATAAACTTGTGGCACCACATGCTTCTTCTTTTTTTTGTGAACCTTTTGATGCCGACTTCGAGAAATTTAAGAGGCTGAAATCAGACAGAGGCTGGTGAAAAGTCCTTTGACATTCTTTCTGCTCCATTTAAGATAGTATTGTCTCTACAGTTGACAAAACGGTGCCAGACTTGGCAAAGGCAAATTTTCTCAGCATCCTGTATTGCAAATTTCAGAGACAAAAGGTATAGATAATTGCGGGGTTTGCGATTTAAAAACTGGCTGGGAGGAGTAGTGAATATTGCAGCGTTGTGGATTTTAGTTTTCAGGTACTCCACCATCTCTACGAAAGATCTAGCGACCTGACTATGATATTAGTTTACTGGTCCTCTACCCATCAAGTGAATGGCACAGTTGTCGGAGTACAACTTAATAATATTGCTGGTGGCGATATTTCATCGCCTTTTTTTCTAAAAAAAATTTCCAGCTTGTTTATGATCCTGTCTATATCTGTGTGTCAGTAACTGAGCTCTCCAGAGGAATAAAAGTTAAGCCTGATTGTAATTTTACACTTATATAGCACCGATTTTTGGATCGTTGATATCGGGGTCGCCTCAAACAATGAACCTCTGGGCAAGGTTGTCCAAGCATTAGTAGTAAAGAAAGAAGATGGATTAAAAAGAAAGTGATAGTAAGGAGCAGCAAATGTGATAAAACCTATCGGATTGACAACTCAGCTTGGAATTTGACAAAGAACTATAAAATTGGGAGCGAATCGAAAAACAATGGAATGTGTCGTAGGCATCACTGAGATAAATGTATGGGATTACAAATTTAATATATAATTAGAAAAATAAAAATATTATTATTTACCTGAAAAATATATGGGCTTTTTATTGTTGCAATTTCATAGGAAGTATCATCAAAGTTACTTGGGGTTGATATTTCCACATTTAAAGTTTCAACAAAGTTGCTAGGCTTTATTATATCATTGTCTGAAACAATGGTGTTTTGTGAACCAACAGCATCTAGGTCCTTGGCTAGGGTAAAAGCCTTAGGTATTTTTTGATTGTCTTCGTTTGTTTCTAAAATAGTATTATTAACTTTGAGTGTATCCATTTGTATTTCATATTTCGCATTATTTGTGGAAGTTTTTCTTATATTAACTTTTGGTTTTGGTGATGATTTATATTGCCAACGACCAGGGCGCCTATTTAGCATTAAAGTGTTTTGACTTAACACTGTAATATTTTCGTCCGACGCAAGGTTAGATTTTGTTCTATACGAGCGACGAGCACTTGTGTCCGTTAACGACGGTGCTATTTGCGAGCCTGATACTTGAATAGTTTTATTCCTCCTGTAAATATAAAATTGATCAAACTCAAGTATAATTTCAAAGTCTTTTCGATGCATAAATACGTCGCTTAGAAGCAACTGCATAAACTGACACTGGCAATGGAAGAGTATCCACGGATGCCAGTAGGGAATATTTCAAGTAGTGCATCGTCAAATAAGTATGTTTTATTAATCTCAATCATGTCCATATAAGTTCTTGTTAAATATTGAAAATACATTATCTCTTGATGCCATTGGCATGAATAATACACCCTTTAAACGTTTCATTATATAATCAAAGTTAACGAGAAAGAAAGGCTATCTTCCGCACGCCGAAAGTCTAATACCCTTGCAGACCCAACCTTTTCACTAAGCTTATAGTGCTTTGCCCGTATATAAGAAGTACAGGGAAAATAGTTAATGCCGAGTTTGGACAAGATATCTTGATAAACAAAAAAGGTATATGATAAAGTAGATATATGATATAGTAGTCCGATGTTAATAAGATTTTGCAAAAATGAAGGGAGCATAGTGAAATCTTTAAATGCCGTAATCAAAATATCTTGAATGACAAAAAAGTTTTCCATACAACAAATTAATTTTCGACCGTTCGTGCTGTAGTGTAGCTGTATGATGTAGTGTACCGATCTTAATAGGATTTTGCATCAATATATATATATATATATATATATATGAGGAGCATAGTAAAACTAATAAATGCCGAGTTTGGTCAAGATATCTTGAAAAACAAAATGTTTTTCATATAAAAACTTAATTTTCGACCGATCGTTCCTATGGCAGCTATATGAAATATTGGAAATGGAGTAAGTAATCGATTATCGGAAACAAACTCGATTTGCGCATGGATTAGAAGGACCTTCAGCTAAATGTCTAGCTCTTATAGTTTCTAAGATTCTTGCGTTTATACTTACGGACGAACGGACAGACGGACATGGCTAGATCAATTCGGCTGTTGATGCTGATCAAGAATATATATACTTTACGGGGTCGGAGATGTTTCATTCCGCCTGTTAAATACATTAACATTTTGCTTAAATACAATATACCCGTTTTACCCATTTTAAAAGGGTTCAGGGTATAATTATAAAATTCCTTTTCGAAGAGATTGTGCAAGGTGAGGAATAATTTAGCTATATAACTATCTAGTATATCTGTACAAAATCCTTAACGCAAATTTCAAAACTGATGAGAATATCGGGAGAAAAGCACATCATAGAATAAAATACAGGCCCAATTGCAATGATGTTGATGGAACTCAATAAAAACGCGCAAAAATGTTTGTACATGTACGCTGACACGTGGGCTGCCAATATATAAGTTAACATGCGCAAGCTGACAACGCTGTTGCGCCGGATGCTATCGCGACAAAGTTGCAGTCGAAATCCGAAACTCGCACGCGCAAGCAGCCTGATCGCCCGCTAGAAACCCCGACTCAGCATTCAGCCGGCTTTCCAGCCGGTGGTTCATGGTTCGATGCAACTTGCCCTAATTTTAGTTTTAAATTTGTTCTCATATAGTTCTAACGAACTTGAATTAAAAACGGATTACAAGAAAGAAAGATACGTTAACTGAATATCAAAGAGTCTTCTTTTAATTGGCGCCCAAACGGGAAATAACCGAACTGTTTTATAAGCGATCGTTCAATCGCCCACCGAAATAACTCCTTGAGCTAAACGCTAAGCCGCGGTGCAATAAAGTGAATAACAACAATTAAAACAAAACACAGGGAATAACTCTGAGTAAACGCGGAAAGTAGCGATATCAAACAGTAAAATACACACAACAATAAATTGAGTGCTACAAAAAAACAGTGGAAAATAAAACACTCAAGCACCACAAAACTTACAAAACAACCCCAGCCAAGAAAGCTTAAGCGAGTTACAACAACAACAACAAATCAACAAATACGAGCGGCCTGCAGTGTTCGACAGGAAAATAACGTATCACAGCGGACACCATACCACTTGATTGAAGCACATATTTCAAAATGTAATTGAGGTGTTTATTTGTTTACAATTCAAAGTATTCTAATAAAATTCTCAGAGCTGTTTAGTATGAGATGTCATTGTTTACATAATAACCTTTAGCAAGATTCTGCCTGTTGCAGTAAAGTGTTAAAGAACCTTTAATAAGTCAGAATTAAAAAAAAAAGAATTAAAATTATTTTGAAACGGTCAGATTTTTTATGTTGCGACCATTGCAATCCCAAACCAAAGCGGACGACAGTAGTGGCGACGTACTGATAACTTCGTACTTAGAGCAGCGGTCTTTGGAAGGAACAAAAACAATGAATGCGGAACAAGTTGCCCATTTAAAGGCAAAGGTTCCAGCAGCCCTTGACCAACAATCCCTCTCATTTGAATAAAAGATAGCCTCTCTAACAGACCAGCTTAATAAAACTAAAGCTTCTGAAGTCAGGGGCCTCAAAAAATTATAGAAAACCCCTTTCCGAACTGACACATTGGGTGCCAGTTGACAGCCCCTTTCAAGTCAAATCAATTCACGGCCACACTAAGATTGAGCAAATATGCCTCATCTACCTTTACAGCATTAAGTCGTACTTTTTCATGCTGGGGTCACTTAATGACTTGACGGCATAAATGGCATTGATCTATTAAAGCAGATTAATGCCCAAATAGATTTTACAAACAACGTAATTAAACATGACCATGGGATTCAAGAAATCGAGTTCATTAAGTGTCAACAGGTGAACCACATTCGGATTAATGACACGGACGTCCCTCCTGCTGTCAGATCCACCTTTGATAGTATGATCAACAAAATGGTAAAAGCATTCGGACGTTAACGTTAACGAATCCGTGCCGTACAACATAAATACGGTTGCCACTATAACAACGGATGAAGAACCGGTCTACTTAAGACTTTATCCGTATCCAAAGGGCGTGTCCGACTTTGTCAATGCAGAGGTTACAAAAATTCTAGCGAATGGCATAATACGACCGTCAAAGTACACTTAAATTAACCCGTTATAGGTTGTCGACAAAAAAAGGATCGACGAAGCGGGGCACAAACAGAAGTCTGGTTATTGATTTTAGGAAACTAAATCAGAAGACAACCGATGACAAATACCCTATCCCATCCATTTCGACTATATTGTCAAACTTGGGCGAGGCTCATTATTTCACTACGGTACACCTCAAGTCAGGGTTTCTCCAAATTAAATTGGCTGAAAGAGACAGGAAAAAGACAGCTTTCTCTATTAACAACGGGAAGTATGAGCTTTGTAGACTCCCTTTCGAGCTGAAAAATGCCCCAAGTATTTATCAACGAGCCATTGATGATGTCCTCCGCGAACAAATTGGTAAGATATGTTATGTTTACGTTGATGACGTAATAATCTTCTCCAAGTCCAAAGAAGACCATATCAGGGACATTGAGTGGGTCTTGAGAAACCTTAGGGGTGCTGGCATACGAGTGTCTCAAGAAAAATCCAAGTTTTTCCAAAAAAGCGTGAAATATTTGGTATTTACGGTGTGCAGAGGCGGGATTCAGTCCCCACCCGATAAAGTGAAAGCTATTAAGCTATTACTTTGTCTAGCTACTATAGCTGCTTCGTAACGGGTTTTGCCAGTATCGCAAAGCCCCTAACAGATATCTTGAAAGTCGAAAATGGCAAAGTAAAAAAGGTGATAATCGAATTTTCACCAGAACATTATGAAGCCTTCGATGGGCTCAAAAATAGATTGGTCTCCGAATATGTAATGTTGTCCTACCCAAATAACAAAAGCCTTTTGACCTCACAATGACGCGTCTACGCGGCTACGAACTGGGAGCAGTACTGTCCCAAGACGGCCGCCCGATAACAATGATCTCGCGAACATTGCGAAGCAACGAGGTAATGAGGGTGAGCTTCTCGCCATTGTATGGGCACTCAAAAACTTCGGAAATTACTTGCATGGTGCTAAGAATCTTATCATTCATACAGACCACCAGCCACTAACCTTTTGATTATCGGACAAAAACTCGAATGCAAAAATAAAGCGTTGGAAAGCCTTTATTGATGAGCACAACGCAAACATTATTTATAAACCCGGAAAAGAGAATTTGGTAGCAGACGCTCTGTCTCGCTCAGATGCTGCCACTATCCACAGTGAGGAATCCCTCACATATACCATTGAAGCCACAGACAACCCGATAAATTGCTATCGGAACCAGATTATTTTGGAAGAAGGGACTTTCTCCAACAAAAGACGTAAATTTTGTTTAAGACGAAAACTCGTCACATAATTAATTTTTTCGATCGCAGCACATAATTACAAAGCATTAAAGATGCAGTAAACACTAACGCAATTCATTGCGAGCTACCCATACTGGCTTTCATCCAACACGGACTAGTTGAGGCGTTCCCTTCTACCACCTTTAGATATTGCAAGAACTTGGTTACAGATATTGTGAACCCAGCAGAACAGAGGAATATTGCGACAGCTGAACATAATCGCGCACACAGAGCAGCGCAAGAAAATGCGAAACAGATACTTAGGGAGTATTTTTTCCCAAAAAAATAGGTCACTTAACGTCGAAAATAGATGCAAACTGTAGAATTTGTGTTATGAGTAAACATAACCGGCACCCAAAAAAACAGGAAACAGGGAATACCATCGTATGCTGGAGAAATTTTGCATATAGATGTTTACTCCACTGCCAGTAAATACTTTCTAACTTGCATCGACAAGTTTTCCAAGTTTGCAGTAGTACAGACAATACGGTATCGCGCAATCGTGGATATAAAAGCTCCACTTCTGCAACTTCTGAGCATGTTTCCCAAAACAAAAGCGATTTACTGCGACAACGAGAAATTCTTGAACTCGGAAACCATTAAGTCAATGCTCAACAATAACTTTGGCATTGAGATTTCAAACGCTCCACCCTTGCATAGCTCCTCTAGTGGACAAGTCGAACGGTTCCATGGCACATAGAGGACACTGTCGAAAACATTCTCCTTGCAACCATTAAGTACAACAGGTCAATCCGTTCGGTGGC